CACACACACACACACACACACACACACACACACACACACACACACACACACACACACACACACACACGGGATAGGGAGGCAGAGGCGGAGAGGAGTTGGCAGGAGGAGGCGGACGGGAGGTGGCGGAGGCGGAGGAGAAGTGGCGGAGACAGGAGGAAAGAGAGAGAGGAGATGGTGGGGGGAGGCAGAGGGGAGGTGGGCGGAGATGGAGAGGAGGTGGGCAGAGACGGAGTCACCTCGGAGTACAGCCTTGCAAGTCACGATGTCAGGTGGCCGCAGACCAATCGGCCACCCGAAATACACTGAATTGGACCCTTGGTTGAACGCCCAACTAGGATTCATCGGGTATTCTCATTAATCGGGGTTTTGGGGTCCTCTGATAAACTCAAAAATCCCCCGCGTCGACAGCAGGAACTAACCCAAAAAAATTAATAAGATGAACAGTCGCCTTTACCACACCTGACAACCACCTATTTCGTCAGTTCAGAGACTGTCTCAGATCCGACAGCCATGGGGCAAGGGTATGATAGTAACCCTTCACACACTTTCTGCGCTGGCCAATTGACGAGGAAACGAGGCCACACACTTTATTTAATATAATAAAGAAATTAAAAATGAGTGAAAAAGATTAAAAATAATAAAAGGAAAGGAAACAAATGATTATTTTATTAATTAATTAAATTTTATCAAATTCAATCCTTGATGAATTTTAGCCAAAATCTATTTATTTATTCCCCTTCATCGTTTTATACGGGTTTTTGCTATTTATAATCCCTCACTGGATTTTACCCAATTTTCTGATTATTACCCTTGTTACAACTCGGGTATTATTGAATGTGTGCTGTCCACATCTTGCTGGATTTCCACGGCGTGCAGGCTGCCGTGCAAGGACTTGGGTCAAGACTTAATAATTGAGTGGTAGTCACCCCATTATTTATGTGGGACAGGCTTTGACTACATCTGCGGCTTGGTCGGAATTGGTACAGATACGGGAACAATTTATTGGGGTCTGATCCTGCCATTTTGGTACGGACACTGGTTTGGCTCAGGCACGG